TTTTTGAAGTTAAAAAGTCAATTTCCAAAGTAACTATTGCAAATCATTTATTTATAGGAAGAAAAAAAAATGATGGATATTGCCTAGTTTCCCAGTGATTGCTGAGAAAAACGTGTAGTAAAAATTAGACCATTAGTAATTTCACAAGGCAACCAGCTGTTGCAGTCTTTGACTTCCTTTTATAAGGAGTTAGTGTATAAAGTAATGGACAAGTGAGATGCTGAATCATTGCTTGATCTGTTCATTCTGAGCGAAAGATGTGCCCAGGGATCATTCTCTGCCATTGCTTCTTCCCTGGAAAGTGTCTTTATGACAGTCATTGAGGTATAACTGCAATAATGTGTGCATTTCTGTGTCACTCTCTTATCTCTTGAAGATAGTCTGTTATTTTTTTAAACCACTAAGAGCCTTAGAGAGGAAGAATAAAGGACGGACTGAGCAAAATCCCCTGAAAATGATACCTGATTTTGTTTATTTCTAGGTTATTTCTATTATCATATTACCATTACATGACACTGAAAGAATTTCATTACATGGAAAAAAGTCAAATAATGGGAAGGTAAAGCCATAACAAGCAGTTAGATTAGTAGACTTTTAAAATTCATAATTGGCTGTTCAAGAAGGTATATTGAGGTCAAAGACAAATAGTATGTCCTTTCATAAGCAGAGCTAAATAGAATAACATGATTTTTTTAAATGATTATTTTTGGTATTTCCATTTCTCTCAGCATTACAGAACTATTTGAAACTCACAGCTTTTCATGTTTTTGTCATCTCTAACAGGATTTACGTACAGGACTCTTACAGCATCATACAAGGAAGAGAAAAATAGCACAGACTTTAGCTACATATTTACAATAGTTTTCTTCTCTTTTTTTTTTTTTTAAGGAAAAACTCTTTGCCAAACATGGTAACATGTCTAGAACGAGCTTACTAAACATAATTTAAAAATGGAATATTTGGGTTCTCTATTTTGTCAATCCAATTACCTGTTAAAATTCTGACCCTATCCCTTTTCTGTGTGGTAAGAGGAGAGGAGGAGATAGAAATGGCTGAGCTGAGGATGCAGAGCCGTGAGGGTTTGGACTAATGAGATTTGCAGCTGTGGGGCTATTCCCAACAGTTCCTCATGCAAAGGCCTGGGGGTTCCTACAAGCAGATACCTCAAAGCAGGGTGTCCCCTTTAAGCCTACAATACAGATACCCGCTTAATATTCAATCTGTCCCAACTCCTAGAGCAACGCATTTTTTTTTTTTTTGAGCCCTCAACTGTAAAATAGCAAAGAAAATTTGACAAAGAATTTCAGGTAGAAAGGTACCTTTGTGATTTTCTGGAATGTGGCTTCTCTTTTATCTATTTTCTTTCAAACATCAAGGTCACTTCCTAATTCTAGTATTGTGGGGTGTGATGAACAGGTAGATATTACTCCAGCCTTTCATGATTTCCAGACTTTAATCAGATCTCTGCTCAGCTTTCCTTTTCCAGACTACAAAGTCCCGTTCTTCTTTGCCCTCCTCACAGACAGCCCCTTATTCCTTGATTTTAATGGGTGTCCTCTAGCAGGTCATGTAACACCACTGTCTTTCCCCAGGTGGGCACCCCTCACTGACTGTACTCCACACATGGAAAGGCCCTAGGCTGGGGCAGATGAAGGGCATTTCCCCTCTCTTGTATTTATTAAGTCTTCTGGGACAACATCAGTCCTTTTGTGGGTATCAACATGTTTCATGAATGCCTTCAATGGTTCTGTGTGACTTTTTTTTTTTTTTCTTTACTAATTCTATATTTTTTTTTTCTTTCAATATATTATTCCTAAGTTTGTCTACAATGGAACTTGTGTTAATCAGTGTTCTATCACTGTGACAAAATAATTGAGACAAGCAATTTCTATGAATGAAAGGTTTATTTTGGCTCACACTGTCAGAGGTTTCAGGCTCTGGTTGGTTGGCTCTGTTGCTTTTGGGCCTGTGGCAGGGCAGAACATCATGGCAGAGATTGTGTGCTGAGCAAAGCTGTTTACCTCATGGCAGCCAGGAAGCAAAAAGAAAAAGTGTTGGGGCCCTAGTATCTTCCTTAAGGCCACAGCCCCAGTGACCTAAGTTCCCCGCACTAGTCCTCATCTCCTGAGTTTTCTATCTTCTGCAGTGGCTCCATCGACTGGCTAAACAAGCCTGTAACACCTGCGTCTCTGGGGGACAGTTAAGGCCCAAACTATAACAAAGCTCACCTGCTACATTTTGTCTTACTCAACACAGTAAGTTTTTTTTATTTGCTCCCTGATTTTGATATTTTAGTGGTTTGAAATATCTATGTCACCCTCAAAATTGGGCATTTCAAGTTGATTAGCGAAAATGTCTTTGCACAGACCTCTTTGGTATTTACTATTTCCACGTCATCATCTCTTGTGGATATTTTACTGCTGAGCTATGTTTTCTTTATTAGGTGTATATTGCAAATTCAATTTCTCATTGTATTTTAATTAAATTTCTTTAATCAATATTTAAATGTGTAACTTTGATGCACAAAATCCCATGGCAATTTATAGGGGTAGTAAACATTTGCATCTTCAGGTCATACAGTCAACTTTCCTACCCAGTGTCACACATTCCCTTCCTCAATCAGCCCTTAATAAAACTGAGTAGTAGGTAAAGGTTTTATCATCTCTCTTCTACGTAAGGGGCACTGTTTCCTGGAACTTGAACTCTCTCCCAAATATAAATATTCAGCACCCTCACTTGCCCTTTACCCTCAACAGTTGGGATATCACTGCTTTATCTCCCATCCTCTTGTGTGTGTGCAAAGAACCAATCGTTAAAATGACACCCATGTGTACATATAGAGAAATGGAGGTCAATTTCAGCATGGAAATAACCTATTAACATTCAATATCTGGTCTTGTGGACTCATTGATCCTATTTTTGTTGTTTAACAACATTAAGTGATAAACCAATTTATTTTTATTAGTCACTTCCATGATAGAATAACATTTGAAATCAAGAATAATTTTGGAACATCTTTTACACTATACCATATCGTTAGCTACCTGATCTCCAGGTTGAACCTGGTAAGAAAGGATAAGGACTTGGAAATCACGTTCTATTCATGGAATTTAAAGACATTTTGTGGGTTGACATGTTAGCTTTTCCAATTAATAATTCTCTGAACATGGGCAAATTATTTATCTTTCTTTACTTGAGTTCTACCAGTAGAATAGCACTGAAAATAGTCTGTTCCTTATAGGATTGTGATGGGGATGAAGTTAGTTAACACATGTAAAGCATTTAGAATAGAGTCAGTTTTGTCTTGTGCTATGCAAGTGTCTGCTGTTATGTTTACTTGTATATACAAAAGCTGGCACAGTGCCTGGCAGCTGGCTAAGGGACTTACTTGGAAGCTTTTGTACAAACTCTCTTGAATTAATACATTTCAGCCTATCATTCATTTATCTATACTTCAAATCTAGCCCCATACTTCCACAACTGCTCTTCCCATTTGTTTATTAAAACTTCAGGTATGGCATTTCTGTCTATTCTGTAGCACTAATACCTGAATAACTGCACCTGGGTCTTAATTTAGATTGGGTTTAGCTATAAACCTTTCTAGTAACTCAATTTTTAGGATGACCAGTTTTAAGAATGACTTCTTTTTTAGATTAATTTCTCACATCTTAGGGATTTGCATTATTTTATCAATATTGTAATTAAGCATTTTGAAGTAGCTCTGAATTTTATATTGCAACATTCAAGACTAAAATGATGATGAAGCCTTTGGCATCACAGTCAACTTATTATACATATTCCTGTTCCATTAGCTCAATAAGATGCCAGCTTATTTGCATATTATTGCTTGACCCTGATATTATGGCCGATTAATTTGCATATCCCTATCTAATTGGCTCAAATAAGCTTTTTTTTTTTTTTTTTTTGCCATTTTACTTATTGGCCCAGATCCCAGATTAGTGGCTTTTAGTTGAAATCAATTAAATTTGGAGCACTTTTTTCTTTGTTATGCTTTTAGCACCAATGTAAGGACAGATAAGGTTGGTGGTCAAGAATATCAGGAAATGACTGCAGAGCATGCAAAGGAAAATTCTGCTTTTATCTATTTCAGTGGAAGACAGTGAAGACAAAAAGGCAGCTATTTAGGCAGACTGGCAAGATATTTTTCAGGGAAGAGGATATTGAACTGATGAAAGGAACTGAACTTCTTTTATGAAAATAATTCCAGCATAAAAGGCAAAGGTTATGTATTATACCACCAGGAAAAAAGTCTAATTTAGAATTTGCCTCACCTGAATCTCAGCTAAGATTATGATATAGCATTTAAGAATCTAAAATGTAGTTTTCAAATTTAAGTTGCATGAGATTAATATGGAATGAGGAGGGAGCCGCTTGTTAAACATGCAATTTTTGGGGCTGGGGTTTTAGCTCAGTGGCATAAGCACCAGCCTTCCAAGCAGGCGGTCGTGAGTTCGATCCCTGGTACCGATTTAAAAAAAAAAAATGCAATTTTCAGATTCCTAACCCAGAATCCTTCCATAGATTGATTTGAGGTAATCCTTGAAATCTTAAATTTAAAGAGGTATGCTGTGTGATTCTGATGGCCTTAGGTAAAATAGCACATCTTGATAATTACTGCCTGAAGGAATGATCTGTTTCTATTAATTCATGCATTCTATGTGACACCTACTGGTTACTTGGGTGGTGAGTTGCCTTTTCCCCAAATGATTTTGAATGTTTAAATCTGGCCATATTTCCTTAGTTGTATTTTTAGGACAACAGAAAAGACCTATAAAAATTTTTTTTAAAATTAGCATCTTATAGAAACAAGAGAAGGAATGTACTGAGAAGGCAGGGCAAGTGTTACAGCCTGCGGAACTCACACCCTGAGAGTCTGATGCACACTGACTCCTCTACCATCCAAGTTCCCTTTCTTCTTTTCCCATTATTTCCTTCAAGTAATTGCTACCACTTTTGAGTTTCTTTGTCTTTTTCTGTAGGAGACACTTTGGAAGACTCTTTTCCAGCCCTATCACAGTGATGAGGCAAGAGTAGGTGTGGCCAGGAAGACAAGAGGAGTGCAAGGCAGATTCAAGAGAAAAGAAGGTGGAAAACACTTCCAACCTGCATTGCTCAGCTGCTCCCCAGCCCTCAGGTGCCCCTGACCTGACACTTTTTGCAACTCCCTTCTTTGGATCCTTTGTTTGCAGGAACCTGCTGGAATAGATGTCTACCATTTTAGGTCTGTATCTCTGGTTTCCTGGTGTTTCCTGCTGGACATGCTTTGTTGCTTTTTAAAACAGGCAAATACAAACTTTTATCGAGGGGGCACAGAATGCAAAGTTTTTGTCCTTGTTGACCGGTCATGGTTCCTAGCAATATAAACACTTACAAAAATAAAGTCCATAAAGACTGTGTTTACCTTAGGGAAGGAGGGAAGCGAATCAGGTCTGCAAGCCAGAGACAGCAAGCGCTTTGTTTCATATTGGACCTAGCAAGAAGGGAAACTTGCCAGAACTGAGGCCAGCAAATTAATTCATGATTCTCAGAAGACAAGAAGTACTCAAGTTAATTGGATGTAATCATACGGGTTTATGAATATGAATATTTCTCTAGTTTCCAAGAATGCCTCGATTTCCAACAATCCTTGGATACTCCATTTCTAGGCCCTAGTTACTCTGAGGACCTTGGTTTGATGTTTTAGCTCTTAGCAGGAGAGGGATCTTTCAGTAAGAAGGAAATAGAAAATCCTGCTGCCCCTAGGGTGGGGATGATGAGGAAAGCTGAATATGTATCAGAATATCTTCTGCCCTGGAAATCGAGGGACATACAAAGTAAGTGACTTTGAATGTTAATAACCATGAAGGCAACTGCAAATAGTGAATGTCTTGGTCTAAATGTCACATGGAACAAGATAGTTTATATACCTTATCTAATATCTTAGAGATACTACTTCAAGTTCCTTACTGGTAAAGTTGACAATATTGTCTCACAGGATGATCATGGGAATCACACAAAGAAACCAAATTAGAAAAGGATTCCTAAATTAGAAAATACTCTATAACTAATAACATGACATTGTAGATTTAAGTTAAAAAAAAAAAGAATTTCTACTTAATGACTTCCACTTTGCTGATTCAGAAGTTTAGTCTATTAATATTCTTAAGTAGAAATTTTTGAAAATTTTATTTAATTTGTGATAGATATCTCAAACTCAACAGTCTTGACATTTTTTATTAAAGTTGTATTTTAGTAATCTCATATTTCTAAGATGGCCAAAAAGAAAACAACAACAACAAAAAGAATAAACAACAAACAACAAAACAAAACAAAACTTGAGGCACGTAATTGCTGTGATAATTGCTGCAACAAGAAATTCAATTAGGGGTAAGATTGTTCTGACTTGGGAATTTGCACAGGCATAAATTTGAGTATTAAAACCTAATAAACTCAGAGCTGTCTCACACCTTTGGGAATTTTCAGCTTTTCCAATGTCCTTCCTCTCTTTGACCTCTTAATTCTCTCTTAAAATTTGTACAAATACAAAACACTTGTTAGTTTTTATTGCTTGAAAGGAGATTTATCTTTAATACACAGGTACATAAAGGCACTGAATATAATAAAGCACACTATTGTTTGATCAGGAAAAAAGATTGACTTTTCTCTAAGTACTAGCCAAAAGAAAGCTACTTACACCCTGCCACACCAACTTCTGAAAAATAGTCTTGCAGCTTGCAAGATTTAAGATCTCATTATAAATAGTTAGCTTTATATATCCCCCTGGTGGGTTAGAATACTCAGGTGCTGGAATATCAAATATGAAAGTACAAGCACCTAATCTAGAGATGTGTGAAGTCCGGGTAAGCTTGTCATTGTAAGATATGGAGAGCTGAGATGTGTGTCATTTTCTGGATAGATATATTGGCAAAGAAAAAATACCTTTTCATGGTACATGTTAACCTAGAAGAAAGAAAATAAACTGATTGTCCCTCTCAGAGTAGTAAGAAAAACTACTTTAAAAATGTTTGTTAACTAATTGTTTACTGTCTCTTAATTCACTAGTGGATTTTTATAAAATTGGGCCTATTGATCTACCCAAATTGGTCATTTGAATGTATTGAATAGATGAAATTTTCCAGCAATGAATCAAATATCATTCTCTGGTTGACACATTTTCATATTTATCCCCAGATTTGAGAAAGTTACCAATATAATTATAATAATAATCATGAGCACCTAGTTCTAGTCTCTTATAGTAAATACATCAATAAGGCACTGTTACTATCTCAATGTTATAAATAATGTGACTCAGGCTTAGAAGAACTAAATAACTTATCTATGTCAATTAGTTTATTTCTTTCTTATGTCAGTTCGACATGTACCACACAAAGACTTTTACCTCTATCATACATCCATATATCAAATATTGCAAATCTCAGCCTTTTGTACCTTACAATGACAAGCTTAGCTAGACTACATCTCTGTTATTAGTAGCAGAGCAGGGTTTAAACCTTGGCAAAACAGCCCACTTCGGTCTCAATTAACTAGGCGTTTCAGCAAATGGCATTTGAATTACTTGGAATGATCTTCTTATAGAATTTTGATCTTCTTGTACATAGGTCGGCTTACTTTGAGGCAGACCATCTGAGTACTTAAAGTTGTTTTAATGGTAAGTAGGTTAAACAAATTTGAAATGCATGACTTGTTTTTCCAGGGCATAGCTTCTTTGTAAATAATTCATTATTCATTCAGCAGCTATGCTTAGTGCCACCCGTCAGCGAGAGCATTGTGGGAGACATAAACACCAAACCACAGTCTGGTGAGAGAGAAGCGTGATGTTAGAGGGGTGTAAAAAAACTGCTAGTGGCATTTTAAAAAGACTCAGATTTGTTTTGCTGGGATGGATTAGAAAAAAGGCATCATGCAGTCCCACCGTCTAGAACTTTTAGTCTCCTCAGATGACCCCAGAGCTCGCTCTTTCCCCTCTTGCAGGTTGTTGCCTGGAACATTACCAACTCACCACGTGCTCCCTGAGTGCTTTGCCTACTTCCTGCTTTCCCTCTCCCCAGGACTTTTCTCCTCTGGGTGCACTGTATGCTTTTTGTGGCTTCTACTCAGCCTCACTATATTAAAAAGCAAGTTGCAGGAGGGCAGGACCTTTTCGACTATTTTGTCTACTAATGTGAACACAGTCGTTTTGATAACTCCTGAGTCAAAGCAGGAATGAAATATGTATCTATTGAATGAATGGAGGGGTTTATATTTCAAGGATGCCTGAAGAATGGGTAGGACTTAGCTAGACCTTGTTGGATGACACGGAATTCCAGAAGAGGACGTCATGTCTGAAAATGGATGTAAAGCTGGCACGGTGGCCTGCACCTGTAATCCTGGAAGTCTGAGGCAGGGGAATCCTAAGTTTGAGCCCTTCCCAGGCAAGTTAGTGACTCAGTGAGATAGTGTCTCAAAATAAGATGAGTGGGGCTGTGGCTCAGTTGAAGGTGCAGGGTTCAGTCCCTAGTAGTGACAAAATAAAGGGGTAGGATGGGGTGGGGGCAAATGGAGGCAGAAAGTTGTACAATTTGTTTATGAAGATGAGAGTGCTGATCCATTGATTAAAGATTGAGATAGGGCATGACATTGTGTGATGGTGTCTGTATTATTCAATTAGTCATTATGATTTAATTCCATAGGCAGCAGGAAGTCCTAAAATAAGAGCTCCTCAAGAAAATTTACTATGAATAACCTTAAATCATTCAAAGAAATTCAAATGCGGGGACAGTCTTAGGTTGTGCAAGTTCCGAAGCTAAGATACTTGTATTGATTTCTCTGAGAAAAAGGCTGAGCATTAAATTAGAGCTAACCTGGCCTTGCTTCTTTTGTGTCACAGTGGTGGCCAGAAGAGTGGACAGTAGGAGTCATCCTAGATGCTCTTTCTTTGCCTGATGGCAAGTAATAAGCTAATCATTCATAGGTGTGCTGTGAACCACAGATGTGAGACCAACCTTCCCTTAGCCAAATCCTGAAAGTGCCTGCAGCTTCTGCAATCACTGAGTGACGGTGATGGAGAAGTTAGGGTGGAAAGAGACAGAGGACTATGATTAACAGTGATAGATGAAACACCTATGACCGTGGGAGCTCATTAATAGGGCTTTGAAAGAAAGCAGAAAAAATGAGGGGTCCTTAAGCTTTCGTGGCTCTGGAACTCTGCTGAATGATACAGTGTGACAAAGGAAAAATATGGGAGAGGACTGGACGTGGGTGATCAGAGGATGTCACAGAGATGTTTGGGACACAAAAGAGCCATGAAAGGCACAGGGATGCTGAACCAAAGAAAAAGGAAAGGACCACTGGATCTAAAAATTTCTCAGGATACTAAATAGTAATCTGAGGGTGACTGTCATTGTAGGTAAAATTCTATCATGTTTTTCACATAGACACTCTAAATAGTTGTCATATTTTTAGAGGAAACTGTGCTCAATGCTTTAAATTCCCTCAGTTATGCTAATGTCAGGCAACAAAAGCAGAAAGTTCATAAATAGGGTTGCAGTGACACAAAAGAATTAGTGCAAATTAACAAGGTGACTTACTTATAAAGAGAAATAAACTGAGGTGCCAAGGGAATTTGGTTGACAATTCCATGGGTCAGTAAGTTGAAAATTTAAGTTTTAGCATTTTTAGCTGTTGTGCTTGAGAATATAAAATCATTATGCTACATTAGTCTGACCTTTTGAAGTCTGCAATATTTTTATTAGAGAAAGCACTGAATAATGCATAATATCCATTGTAATTCCGTAGCGAGGAACAGTGACAGCTATCGTCTATTTATAGTGACCTTGTGGCATATTAAGAAAATTCCTCACACTTTGATGATTTACTGGAACATTAAAAATATAATTGATTTTAATCACACAGAAGAGAAAAAAATTATGATCATCCATGGAAGTGGCAAGTCCTTGGGTTGACTTTGTTTTGGAGCAAGAGTGTACTTTACACACTATATTTTATTATGGTTGGGTTGCACAGAGCCTTTAATTTAAAAGCCTCTCCCCAAACTAATTCTAAATTATAGAACTAACTGCTTTACCATGGGGATTCACTATTTCTGAACCATTGGAAATGCTGAGTCTTTAATAAAACGGTATTATGAAAGTTATGTTAGGCTATCAAATAGCTGAGAAGTCTCAGGTTAAAGGCTGTTTTTTAATATGATAAATTTTGACCAAAATAAACCTCATTAAAACTGTAATCTGTTCCAAGCATTATTTTTAGAAGAGTAGATTTCAATGCCATAGGAATAACGATTGAAACTTTGGCTATGAAGAAGGGAAATAGATTTTGTCCTCTATGCCAGTTTCAATAAATTGAGAGTGGTTTCCTGTGGGTACTGTGTTGAGATGAATTCTGAGACTATTTCCAGGCACCATAGGAAAGAAAACCATAATCAATTAAGGCATAGGGAATCACAGCATGTGTGCTAAACATTTGGTATCCATGATGAGACAGCATTTAAAAAAATCAATAGTCATCATAGACTTACCAGATAAGCCACCCACATCCATCTTCTTCAGGTTCTTTGCCTCCAGAATGACAACTGTCAGCTTACCAGCAGTGGGAACATAGCGAAGGGAGAAGCAGATGTCACCCAATTTCTCTTGCTATGAAAACCAATGAAAAAGATATCAGTATTCTTTTCAAGTTACATTGGATGCAATTTGTATATATACATGACAGATTCCTCAAGAGGAATTGTGACAATTAGAATCTGAGAAACTTTAGATGGCTTTCATTTACTAAGGTGTCACCAAGTGTTATGGCTTGTGTCTAGATTTCCCCCTCAACTCTACCAAAGCCTCATG